TGTAACTAATGACATCAACAGGCTGAAAGGAAGAAAAATCACATGATTATCTCAACAGATGCAGGAAAAATATTAAACAAAATCCAATGCCTGTTTATTATAAAAACTTTTGAAAAACTGTTAATAGAGGAGAACTTCTTTAGGTTGATAAAGAATATTTATTCAAAAAACTACAGCTAACTTCATACTTAATGGAGAAATTCAAAGCTTTCTCACTAAGATCACGAACAAGGCAGGGATGATCCCATCACTACTCCTTTAAACTTTTACTGGAAGTCACAGCTGAAACAGTAAGAAAAGAAAAGGAAATAAATGTATACAATTGGTAAGGAAAAAATAAAACTACTTTTATTCACAGATGACATGATTGTGTAGAAAATCTGAAATAATCAACCAAAAACTCCTGGAACTAACAAATGATTATATTAAGGTTATAGGATACAAGCTTAATACACAACAGTCAATTACTTTCTTATGTACTTAGAGTAAATAAGTGAAATCTGAAATTAAAAATGCAATACTATTTAAATTAGCACCCCCCAAAATTAAATATTTAGGTATTGGTATTTGGTGTTTGTTAGGCACAAATCTAACAAACTATGAACAAAATCTATAAGAAAAACTTAAAAAAATAAATCAAATAACTAAATAAACAGAGAAATATTCCATGTCCATGGATAGGAAGACTCAACATTGTCAAGATGTCAGTTGTTCCCAATTTAATCTGTAGGTTTAATGCTATCTCCCTCAAAATATTAGCAAGTTATTTGTGTATATTGAAAAACTGACTCTAAAATTTATAGGGAAAGGCAAAAGACTTAAAATAGCAAAAAATATCTTGAAGAAGAAGAAGAAGGAGTTGTAGGAGTAACACTACCCAACTTTAGGACAAACTATAAAGTGATAGTAATCAGGACTATGTGGTATTGGCAAAGAAATAGACAAATAGATCAATTGAATAGAATAGAAAGCCTAGAAATAGACACAGAAGTATAGTCAAGTGATCTTTGATAAAGGGCTAAGGTAATACAATTAGAAGAATAGTCTTTCCAAAAAAAAAAAAAAAAAAAAAACAACTTAAAAAACTGGACCTCCATAGGCAAAAATTGAACTTAGACACATACCTTGTATTCGTCACAAAAATTAACTCAAAATAAATCACAGACACAAAT